AGTATAAACGTAGAGAGGAGTGTATTTGAGAATTTGTCAAAAGCGAAGTGATAAGGCAGCGGTCAGAGTTTTAAGGAGCGTGTTTAAGGGTGTGTGATCTTTCTTGTTGACTCTTGAATATAGATGGTGAAGGGTCGAGTGTTTTCCTCATGTTGAGGGGAAACTGGTCACTAGACCAACATTAGTTATGGTCATTGAACTTTCCTTGTCAATGTGGCACACGAGTCACACCGATAGATTATTACAGTTAGAGATGTCAGAGCTATAAAACAAAGATGAACAGGAACATAATGTACTGTAAAAAACTGCTACGGTAAAAACCCGTTGGTTGGTTAAACCTAAGTTACTTTGCCATGAAATTATATTTATGAAGACGATACATGTGATTTCACGGGAAGTTTTTGTAATAATGTGTTTTATGTTTACATGTAAGTAAATATTATTTATTGCCTGGTCATTATTGACCTGGTATTATTTATTGCCTGGCATGACCCATCAGATTTGTTTTTTTTGCATCTACATAATTTTTGTTGTTAGCTATGTGTTTTATGCTATTTTATGTTATTTCATGTATATAGCATTATTTCATAATTTTTTAACATATTTCAAATGTAACACTGTGTTCATCATAGTATTTTTTAAGCCTTTTTGAACTTACAGTAGTCATCACGTGGCATCATTGCATCATTATGGTGATTATTATATTTCAAAATATTAGGGAAAAGATTTGATCTTAATTCTGTTGGTTTATTAACATATCGTAAATTATACAGTCACCGCAATATCTTTCATCACTTTCAGCAATGCATGAAACATCATCACTTTACAATTTTCTGGTATGTTATACAACAAAATATAATAATAATAATAAATTGATTAGATAATGCATTCGAAAAATCTACAGTATTCTGAGAACTTACATTTGAAAGGATGTTATGTTAAATTCATGTTGCTTGGAAATAATTGATTTCACTTTAAATGTTTCATTTTTGATATTTTATAGTGATTCTTTTAATGGCCGTTGGTGATGTGTTGACTTTTGAGCAATCCTGGTTGTTTAATGGATGGGTAATGATAATATTAGATTCGATAAAGAGTGAGACGAAGGAATGTGAGTGTGGTCTAATGTTCAGGGTTATGAGCGGCCATATACAACACTCATTTCTAATTTGGAAATAACTCATTTTAGATTCAAAATGGCCTTTTTAGATACAGTATTTTTTTTGCATTCATTTTTTGTTTTATTTTTTGACAAAAATACAATTATCTGGCCTCTAACAGCAATTGCAAGGATTATTTATCCTTATTTAAGATCAAGCTGAATGTCTCTGTGTTATATGAACAAACGCTAACGGCTCTGAAAATGACTGTCAGGTGAATAATCTGTGAGATCAGGAAGCACAGCTTCATGTGTATGGAGAAGGCCTGGATGTGTAAATACACGCGCCTCTCATCAATACCCTGCGCTGATAAGACCAGAGCTGTAAAATACACTGAAACTTTTGGTCAGTTTATCATTAACCACAGCTAGACACTAACAGAAAGACTCTATCCAACCTGCAGTTTGTCTGATTTCAATGCTTTGTAGGAAGAGCTGTAACATAAACTGGCTACAACATCCCTAATTCTTCTGTAAGGCTAATGAACCTATAGAAAACTCTATAGAATAGACCGTTATAGGTCAAACGTGTAAATATGGCCACGTGGTATTTTCAGGGGATTTTTATTTTCACTTAAACGAGTTTTATTTTTATCATGTAAAACACACCATATGCCAACCATTAATGACAAATACTTCAATTTAATAAAAATGATTTGTAATATCTAGCATCCCTGTGACCCTACATAAGACAATTCAAAAAATGAAAGATAATTACACAATAGATTGGATACAGTTTGACAAGTCCTTATGATTATACAGCTCTTTAATGCAGAAGATTTTAAAATGATTTATGTGTAAAGTTCTGTAGTTTTCTTCATAATTAATGTTTTTTTTTTTTATTATTTTGGTTTCTCTTTGCCAGTGTGATGATGTGATCAGAGAAACATGGGCTCCCTGCTGTCTGCGTGTAGAATTAACGTAAAGAAAAAGAAAGTAGAAGGTAGCATACTGTAACTAAGTACACTGAACACACAGTTTGAAGCCTGAATTATAAAAATAACGTTCCAGTTTATTTTCTTGTTTTTTAAATGTTCTAGTCTGATTTTTTCCCCCTAGTAGTGTTTATTTATGTGGTGTTTTTATATTTTATTTCCTCAGAGGAGAGGCATTTGCGAGCTAATGACAGGGAATTCAACCTGTCGTTTAAGTATGCTGTGAGTAGGAAAATACTAATATATATTTTAGTCCAAAAAGTTTTTGGAGCATATTGTGAGTTTTTT